AAGGATGTTCACATATTTCGTGGGAACACATTTCCGCGAAAGTATTTCGAACAGAATGCATCGATCGACTAAATCGAACGCACTCTTGAAGTCGAGGAACACAGCTATTGTCGGTCTGCGTGGCGCTGCTCTAGCACCTGTCGCAAAGTAAATATATGGTCTATACAGCCACATCCTGGTCGGAAATCTGCCAGCTCTGCCCTACTCCGAGATTCCCGTTCCACAGTGAGGCGACGAAAGAGAATCGAGGTCAGTAATTTTGCCACAACTGGCATTAGGCTAATACCTCTGTGGTTAGAACAGTCTGTGCAACCGCCCTTCTTGTATATTGCCACTATAATCGATTCATTCCAATTAGCCGGGACACTCTTCCTTCCAGATACGTTCGAACAAGGAGGTCAATGTTTTGCAGTGGACCTCACCTCCATGCTTAAATAGTGCAGGTGGGAGGGAATCCGGGGCCAGCGGCACGAAAACGATTGAGGGCTGTAATCGCGTTTCGGACCTCGGCCTCCGACGGAGGCTCTAAATTAACCGCCCATGGCACGTCCTGCATCACCTGTGTAGGAAGAGGTCCGGGAGCAGGGGGCCAGCTGAACTGATCTTGAAAGTGTTCCGCCCAACGAGCCATACGGCGCTCCTTATTGTGTATCAGCGCACCCGCGCTGTCTCTGATTGTGTCACTGACGCCTGGCTTTCTGGGACCAGTGGTGCGGATTAGCTGGAAGAGCTTCCGGTAATTGCCTACTGCTCCTGCCTCCTCCATTTCTTGAGCCCGACTGGTCCACCAGGCTTCCTTGTCAGCACGTAGGCTCCGCTTTAGTTCACGCCTAATAGCCCGTCTCGTCACATTGTGTTCAGAGCCAGCCGGGAGGTGTCTTCTAGCTTCCAACAGGTTCATGGACCTCTCGGATATCCAGTGACTAGTGCGGTGACGATGGATAGTGCCACAAGCAGATGCTCCTGCGTCGTGCATGGCAGCCGAGATTTTATTCCACTGAAGTTCAGTGTCATTAGGACAAGACAGCGAGAATTCGGTATGCAGTGTGTCTTGATAGGCTGGGACAATTTCTCCGTTGCCAATCGGAGGAGACGCTTTGTGTGCCTTCCGGTAACGTTCATGGAGAAACGACAGCGCACCAAGGCATGATCAGAGTCGACACAGGTACTCCAGTACGAGCGGCAATCCAGGATGGAACTACGCCACCTGTAACTTATGGCTATGTGGTCAATTTAGGTCAATCGCTGGCCAGCTACAGGTTGACGCCAAGTGGCACTTCGGCGCCCACTGTGTCTAAAAGCAGTGCTAGTAAGAAACAACTGGTGCTCCGCACACAGTTGCAGCAGACGCTCGCCGTTGTCAGTCCGTTCGGAGTTAAGTCCATAATTACCACCCAGCTGAGCTTCTGAAGAGCTCAGACGCCCTACTTGTGCGTTCATATCCCCTGAACCTACCATAATATCTGAACTAGTAGCACTGCGTAGTAGGGCGTTCAGTTCGTGATAGAAAGTGTCCTTGACTGCATCAGAACTGCAGTCGGTGGGAGCATAAACGGAAATCACAAACAACATTTTGTATTGCTTCGTGAATCCACCTTAGCTGATGTCGTCAAACGGGCTGCACATAAACGGATGTTCACCGGAATCCAATCAACCAACCATGGCTCAGCCTTGGAGCTGAGAATGATACCTACACCAGCTTGACCCGTGAGTGCCGCATCGGCGTCTCCGGATGCGTGCAACCAATAACGAGAGGATAAGTCGGGTGCAGTCAATTCAATAACCCCGTTAGGGTCATTAATCCTAGTTTCGGACACACAACACACAACAACACCCAGTGTGTCCAGGGTGCGTGCGAGTGCAGCCTGCTGACCTGTTTGACTTAGAGTGCGGACGTTGAATGTGGCCATGGAAACGGGACAGCGTGGTCCTATGAGGGACTTTTGCCGATAGGCGTCCGATAGGTGCTGTGGGATGGTGGCTGCAGATGGTTCTACTCCAGTAGCACTTCGGTTGCTGTCAATTAAGCTGGGAATTATAGAAGGAGGGTTAGCAATGGAGGCCGAAATGGGAGTAAGAGAAAAAGATGGAAAAGAAAGAAGGGAGGCGCAGGCAGTAGCATGTTTTCGCTTATCCGCCCTGCTGTATGCAGCAGATAAGGCGACGCTTGATAATCTGCGCGACAGCCGATGCAGGATGAAGTTTATGTTTGAAGAGAATGTCATGGTTGTATGTGGGCTGAGATACTGCCAGGGCGCCCAGACCTAGACAGGAGGACGATTAGGGTCCTCATCCAAAGCCTGCCGCAAGGCAGCGGGGTGGCAGTGATTTAGTTGTACAGAAATGGACGCCATCCCATTTCAAATCCCCAACCTAGAGGACCAGAAGACTGAGTTTGTCTGACCTCTCACCATTAACCAACCTGGTAGGAGTGGCTCTCAAGATGCTCGGAGGCATCACCTAGTATAGCTCAATGGGTCAATGAGGTATGCATACCGTCGCACCACGTTAAGGTCGTCTTTTTGCGACGGAAGGCGTGCAGTTTGAACAAGTAGATGACATCACCTACCCTGGAAACTGTGCCAGTTCTGATGGCACCATCGGTAAAGAGACTTCTCTTCGTGTTGCCATAGCCTGATCAGCTTTCGCTGATCTGAGGCTCTGTGGCGTCGTCGTGACGTATCATTCTCGGTAAACCGCAGGGTCTGCAATGCCTGTGTTCGCGCGACCCTGATGCATGGAAGTGAGTCCTGGCTGGTCTATGTAAATGATTTGCGTCCGATTTTAGCCTTTTGACAACGATTGTCTGCGGAAGATAGCTTGTGTATGGTGTACGTCGCGTCCTGGGTAATACGGGTCACCCTCTCGATAAGCTAACATCGCTGGGCCAACTGAGGTGGCTAGGTCACGTCTTACATATGCCGTGCGAGCGTTTATCACGGCGCGCTTTATTCGCTCGCGTAGGGCTGCACTAGCAGAAATCGCGCGGTGATCAACCTACCATATGGTGACAAAACATCAAGGCGCTGACTTCACGTCTAGCTGTTTTCAGTCCCGTGCGTTTTCCAGACTGCGGAGTCAGAGATGAAGTAAATCGCTGGTTGAAGACTCTTGGGAAGATGGCGCGTAATTGGGGCCAATGGAAGGTTTGCAAAAATGTACGCATTCATTCTATTGATCAAAACCACAATCAGTTACTTGAAAAAGAAGACAAAATGTCATATGAAAAATAACAAACTTTTTATAGTTTCCATTTTGTGGTAATGTACGCCGTATCGCCGCTTCCGTGTCGCGCAACCAACCGGTCGCACCTGGGCGAGGATACTACGAAGGTCGCCCAACCCCTACGCAGGCTAGCATCCGAGCAGTCAGATTACAAGACAAGCTCGCTACATTTAGGCTACGGCTGGCGTCCACAGATGTACCGTACGAAACATCACTTATGAAGCAGATAAACCTGGCGAAAACGAGATCTGAATTAGACGGCAATTAAGTACCTATGTACCTAGTGGAGAAGTTCACGAACTGCTTCAATGGCACTTGAAGGTACAGCTCAAGAAACTATGCACTGAACGATCCTGACGCCGAATCGCATGATAGATCAGAGCAACAGACCTCAGAGGTTGAAATGTCTTAGAACTAGAAACCTATTCGCAGACTGAGCGCAGTTAAGTCAATAATCTTGCTATAAGTACTTCCAGGAGTTCTAAAAACCAATACAACTGTAAACTGAGCAGAAGTGCACACAACAACCGATAGGTCCTCAGCAATTCGATCTAACGACTGAAATGGGCAGGCGATCACATAAACTACAGCGCCCCAACATTGATGACCAACGGAGCGATCAATTCCAAACAGCTCGTAGTTATATAAACATATTTCACCGTCTGTGATATCCGAGGGTAATCACGTTTCAGTGAAAGCAAGCACATTGGGATTTTAGTCTGCAAGCAGACCAAAATTGTGCACCTTGTTTCTTAGGCTACGTATACTGCTAGGCATTACCCGAACTCGATAAAAGCAGTCGTGGGTTATGTGCTATCCGAATGGGCTTTATTAGGGTGCAAATTGTCTACCAGCTGAAAATCCACAAGCTGAAGGCAATGCTCAACAGCCGCACGCCTGGTTTTGAGATCTTTGATGGGCTCCGGTTTAAGCTCGTTGGCCATTGGAGGATCTAACTCCGCAGGTTGAAAACAAAAGGTAGCAACGTCTTTCGCTTTTTCAGAAGACCATTCGCAGGCACCACACGACAGGTAGTTTGGGTGTGGCTAATTCCCATCATTGCACAACACTACCCGTTTCAGCTTAGTTTGGACTCCTTAAGTAGAGGTAACCTGAACTGGGAATGGAAACCGGTGGTGGTTGACGGTTTGATCACAAAACCAATGAGCCCCGCAAGCAGCGCAGGATGCAGTAATAGCTGAGATGAATGACAATAGAAAGTAATAAAGCATGCCTTAAAAACAACGGATGATGACGCACAATGAAAACATGCAGTCGGTTAATGTTCACCACAACCAAGAGCAAAGCGAAAGTCGGTGCCGGTTTAGAATGACGTAATGAAGCAACAGAAATAGGGATTTAGTCCTCAAACATCGACCGATAATGACAGGCGCGTAGCCCTGGATGGCATACTACGGCAGCAAAACGAACAGCTGCGAGCGCGTCAAGTTCGAGTAACGTCAAGACAGTAGAATTAAAATGAATCAAACACGCTCGTAACCGGCGTTTAGCATTTCGGTGACGTAACAAGGTAACTTTTCCGCAACAGCAGTAAATACCAACCCTCTTAGAGGCAAATATCGGGACTCTAGAATGCTATGACTTTGTGACAAGCTGCCTCAGGAAACAGAAAAATTCACTGTGAGAACTGGAGCACGCACGCACGCACTAAGTTATCGAGGAAGCGAAAATACATGGGTAACACCAACCGTTTGGAGGCCATTAGACTTAGCCGTGGACAACACCCGAGCAATTATGTACATTAAAAGCCGTGGAAGCCAAAGAAATGTATATCTCATTAGATTATCGTACAATTAACGCTTGCGTCGCATCGAGACTTGATTCACACGCCTCCATGCGGCGCGCCGTGAGCCGCCGATGGTCTTGTGGAATTTATGCCCATGGCCGAGCCCACGAGATTTCTTGCCAGCAGAAGTAAGGCCACGCATCTCTCGGTGCTTGTGGTGTGCTTTACAAATCCAACGAATGCTGGGGTCCCGTCTGATGGCCTTGTGAAAGGGATCAACACATATCACTTCAAAGTATTTAAAGGTGCTATCTTCACCGACCCAGTAGGAGTTAAGCACTCGAAGAGCACCGCATTTGCGACCAACACGTTCCTTAAACAAACAAGATAAGGGGCGAAAACGCTCACCTCGGCAACAGCTTGAATGGAACGCTGATTTTTCAGTTGATTCACTCCTTCGTTAGTGGGCTTCCCATTAGTGGCGCCTTTAGGAACCTGCCTTTTACGTCCTCCCCGTCTGATCCTAATGCGGTAAATGACGAAGCCCTGCTTAGCCTTGTAGCCCAAGCGCCGTGCTCGATCCGGACGGGAGGGTCGAGTCGTGCGAACTATCGCATTCGTTTGGCGGTATTCCCAGCATCTCATGCGCCGAATAAAGCGCATAACATCAGACTGCTTGTGACGATAAAGCTCCTGCATAAATTTATACGCTCCCATAATGATATGACAGAAAAACGGAGGAAAAAGACGAAGAAAAAACTCTCGCCGGAATATTTGAATAACGCTGTGATTTGCCGGCAAATACAAACAACTGATCCTCAAACTTCAAAAGTACCTATGGGTAAACACACAACAAAAGATAGCGTCTAAATAGTGTGTTAAGTAAAATACGTTATTTTGTTGAGTATAACAACGCTAACTTAAGCAAGTACTTGGTCGATGGGGTCGAACTCCCCGGTGTATCTAGCCAGGTTGACCTAGGCGTCCTACACTCTTCGGCGTTACACTCCGGCGACAACTGGAAGAAGGCCGTAAGCAGAGGTTTCCGCATGTTGTGGTTAATCCGACGTTCTTTCGGAGTCTTGACGGGCGGCATCTTTACGAGGCTGTTCTCGGCTTTCGTTCGCACTCATCTGGAATACTGCGTTCAGGCTTGTCCGCCCTGCCTCCTCCGGGACAAAATGGAGCTGGAGAGGGTTTTACGAGTGGGTACTAGGTTAGTCGAGGGATTACGTGGACGGACGTACCCCGAGCGTCTACTTAGTTTGGGAATGCATTCAATGCACTACCGAAGACTTAGAGGAGACCTAATCCTAACCTACCGTATCTTGACTGGGAAGGTTGGTCCAGATTTATCTTGGCTATTCAGTCCCGCTAGATTGTCTGTTCTACGCCGTCATTCGTTGAAGCTGGACAAACCGCGGTCCGATCGGATTAGGGCGGAAATCCGGCTGTCACGCAGAGTCATCGACCGCTGGAACATGCTTCCGGAAAGTGTTAACAGGGAATCTACGGTTAAGGGGTTTGAGCGGCCACTTGACGCTCTTGGGTGGCAACACGAAACCTTTCCATTTTCCTGAGTAACTCGCATCTTCGTACTTCGATTTTCTTTTCTCTACTTTTCTTCACGTATTGGTATTATTTTATTATTTAAGTGCACTTCCCTATTCTGTACCTTCGATTTCCCTTCCTATCCTTTGCTTACTTCATGTGACTGCCACAGTAGGGACTGCTAGGGCAGGAAACGTGGGCATTAACTGGTTGGCCAGGGTGCGATACGGGTGCTTCCGTTTTAGATCCATCAATAACTGAGCACTTCATCAATTCCTGGCTCGACGATCCACTCAAGATGGAACACTCACGGGATTCTCCTATCGTTCCACTCCCCATCTGAACTGAACTGAACTGAACCATTTGTGTCCGGTGCAGGACGACAGAAATTAAATTTAAGAAGTCCTTAGTCGTAGGATTGAAGACTGATAGCTTAAGTTGTTCAGCTGGCTGTTGAACTGTTCGCTGAGCTTTTCAATTTTGTTGCAAACGTTTCGTCACCAATCAACCTGACATTAGCATTGGGTAGTTGATTGGCGTGCAATAGCGTAAAATGCGCCACAGAGAAACGTTCGTAACAAAATTGATATGCTCAGCGAACAATGCAACAGCCAGTATATGGAACACCCTAGATTATTCCTTTTTGAGTGGGCAGTTAAGCAAAGAGGTTATGCGGTGTTCTGAAGTAATGATGTATCTAAATGTAAACCACCGAACCACACACTGCGGTCAATTGTAACTGTTAGATTCAGATTTAGATGTTACTGGCACGATCGGAAATTCCCTTGAGTTTTTTTCTCGAGCAGATTGTTGAGCCAGGAAAATAAAACGCGCTACGAGGTCTTGATTAAGCTAAAACGGAACACCACAGGTCAACCAACTACTGCACATGTTCTCTGCACTAGCAGTCCCCTTTGTGTAGGTCAGGTGATGTAAGAAATTATTAGGAAGAAAATGGAAGATAAGGTGGAAGAAAGTTCATTTGTAAAAAGAATAACACCCAAGCTTGATGAGAATCACAGGATCTGAACTCATTGTTGGAGAATGGATATGGTCAGGATAATGGAAATATTTCGTGCTGCTACCCAAGAACGTCTGCCTGGCGCTCGGAACCCTTAACATTAGGATCAGGTCAGGTCAGGTAGAACGGACGCTACAGGCTTTCGACTAACGAGCTTCCAGTTTCTTGTGCAGGTAACTGAAGCGGCATCCGACGTTGTACTGACCCTTCTTGCTTATGCAAAGGAATGGAGCAAGAACAAGAGCAAGCTTTGCGTTAGTACTTGTCAGCAGCACAATACACTACATACGCCAACACAATCACAATATCTCTAAAAAAAGGACAGAACAACACTGAGCGAACCCCGTTTTGAAGACATGTACAGACTCACATTCCACTAACTTTGAAGGAAGTTTATATCAGATGCTAACTACTCGGTACGTAATACATTTTGCCCTGATGTCCAAAAGCGCTCTACGTTGTTTGAGCTTTAGGCGATGCCCGCGCTGTTGGGCTGACATAGTTAACTCCAACAGATGTGTGGGACTAATACTACTAGGTCCCCTAATTATTTTAAACGTCTCTATATAGTTCCCTCTCAACGCAGGCCGTTCCAGAGAAAATAATCCCAAGCTGCTTAGACTATCTTCGTGCGACTTCCCTCGTTAAGTTTAAAGCATCCTGTTCGCAAGTTCCTGAATCTTTTCTATACGCATGGCGTCACTAAGGAGGAACCGTGCCCAGGCCTGATCACAATAATCCAGATGCGGCCTAATCATTGCTTTATACAACGGCAAGGATAGTTCTGCTTTAGGGTTACTCAGCGCCCTCCTACGACGACACTGTGCGAAAGGCTTAAAATTGTGCACTATGGTGAGACCTATATCGCGAGCTTCATCAGTACACCGCCAGCAGGAGACTGAACGGCAGTGCCGCTACCACCATTGGTCAATATTTGACATTTATGGGTAAGCAAGGGTATATCCCATTGTCTGGACCAATTCATCAACATGATTATGTCCTTTGTCAATGTCGCTCAGTTTCCCATACTGATAGCTTTAGGTCATTTGCGGAGATATAGCAGGGATTCACAAGAAGAGGAGCCAGGTCATTTATAAACATAAGAAACATTAATGGACCCAGCAAGAAAACTTGGTTGACACCGCTGTAGGCACGACCCACACTAGCAGTCGCTTTCCCCAACCCTGACGCTGAATGTCCTCCCACCTAAAAATTCAGAGCCACAGTAATTGTTGAGCATGCAATCCAAACCATGTCAGGGTCTCAACTAAAAATCGATGATGCGCTGCTTCAAATGCTTTACTAAAGTCCAAATAACACATCTCTAGCGACATCCCACTATCAAGCCAGCGGGTAAAGTCATCTAAAAAGCACAATAGGTTGGTGAGACGCGACTTCTTTTTAAGAAAGGCATGCTGCTCTACTCTAATTAGATCGGGTTCAATCAAGCGCTCACAGATCCTATTTCGTATGAGCTTTTCCAAGCACTTCAGCATGATGCTGCGCAAAGTGACTGGTCTGAGTTAAGAGGCACCGACTTTGAACCGCCCATGTGGATGGCACACACGGTCGCCTCCCTCCAATCACGTGACAGATTGCCTTCTTCAGGCGACGGGTTGAATAACACCGCGACAGGATACTGAAGAATATAAGCCAGCGGCTGACCTCTGGCGGTATTTAAACTCTCAGGACCAGCTGCTTTATAAGGGTTCAAACTGACCAATACTGTGAAGACCTTTGACACATTGAGAGTAATTTCCCTGATTGCACTTTCTGAAAACGACTTCCAGCGCCTAATTACCCTCCGCGGTAACCGAGTTTCCGCCTTGTGCCGGTCAGAACGCGGCTTGTGTTGCTTCATGGGATAACCACGGAGGCAAGCCCACCTAGCCAGGCCAAATAACCAGCTCAAGTCTTATCCAACCTAAACTGCTAAAATGCGGTAAGTAAGGGTTAGGTCTCCTCGAAGCCGTCGGTAGTGCATTGAATACATACTCAAGCCAAGTGGTCTCTTGGGGTACTTTTGCCCTTGTAACCCCTCGAACAACTTGGTACCTAGTCACAAAACCCTCTCAAGCTCCATTAAGTCCCAAACAAGCTAGGGCGGGCAAGTCTTGACGTAGTATTCCAGATGGGGCCGAACGAAAGCTGAGCCGAGCTTCGTAAATATGTCGGCAGTTAAAACCGTAAAAGTACGGTGCTATGCATAACCTTCTGAAACCCCTGTTTGCGACATTCTTCTAGTTGCCGCCAGAATACAAAGACGGGGAATGGAGGACGCCTAGGTCTATCCGTGTGGCGAAAACAGGGATTTCGGACTCACCGAGCTGTATCACGAAAGTGGGAAGGTGGTTCCTATACGTACGGACGGAACACTCAGCCTGATTACTGGGCAGTAGGTACAAAGCAGACCAGTCCCAGAGTCTGTCCAGTGCTTGTTGAGTGGCCACAGAAGCCCCAGGAACAATTGCACCATTTTAAACGTTAAGGTCATCGTCAAACAATAGCGCTGAGAACCAAATTCCAAAGGCAGGTCGCTTAGGTAGAGGGTGAACAGTATTTGTCCAAGGACCGAGCCCTGTGGAGCCGCTTGCATAAAGAATAAGTTGCGACCCACAAGTGCGCACTGCTTTCTTCCCTGAAACAAGGTAGATACACAGCGAAGGGCGCGGCCGAAAACGCCTTAGGAGATTGCTGTCTGTACTGCACCTGAGAACAAGCCCACGCATTATTATATCATTCATCCCTGGATTTTCCTTTCGCTTGAACTTTCTCAATGTCCATTTTTTACTAGAAGTGCAGCTATTACTCAAACGGCTGTGGTGACTCCCTTGCCAAAACTTCCTTGCCCCTACTGGCTGGCCGTCAATTCCCCGTAGCATGCACCGACAAACTTGCGTCCCGCTGCCGCTGTCTTCCCTACTGCCATGTAATTGACACGTCTTTTATGTGTCATTGCTACCTACTGTTGTCCCAGACACCACCAACCATTTGGTAACCAACTAGGAACATGCTGTCTGTTGGTTTGAAGTTCATCTTGACGGGCTCGTTCCAGTTACGTATTGATCCGTCACAGGTTTTTAGTTGATTTTATCACCAAGCAAAGTTTTCTTTTACAGTTTGTAATGAGCAGCATAGAGGCTGAACCACCCCTTTTAAGAGTTTATGACTTCGGGTTAGCCTCCGCTTTTTGTGAGCTTGAACCTGCCTCCTTGTTCTTGCACTTAGAATACATCTACGTTTGTAAGCTTGCTTCTGACTTCGCAATATAAAATCAGCTAATATCT